CTCGTCTCCTGCCAAGGCCGTGGCTTTCTGCGAGGGATACCCCCCTGGCAGCAACACTTCCTCATCTCGTCCTTCTACTGCGGCCTCCGAGCAAACGGCGTCTGCCCCCAGTGCGCGTGGCGTGCCCCAAAGCACGTGTCCGTGTTCCGATAGTCCCCACGTCGTTGGCGACCTTCCTTCGAGTGAATGTGCGGCCACCATCGTCTTTCGGCCCGTCGGGAAGAAGGCCAATTTCCTGGCGGCGTCGAGGGATGCAATCGCCGCCTTTCTTTCGGGGTTCCCAACCACCCAGCGTGTGCGGGTCAATTTCCGGCGCAACCTCGTTATTGTCGACACCCACCTTACCGCCCATTTGACGGACCTACTCCAGGCTTGGACGATCTGCGAGACCAAGGTTCGAGCCAAACAACTCGACCTGAACACCTGAGTTGGCGTGGTTTTGGAGTGGAGCAACGATCTCCTTCGAGGACGTCGCCGACTACATTGCTTCACTAGTGCCCCTCGTGTCCGGTGTACGAAGAGGCAACTGCCTCACCCTCACCTTCGCTGGGACTACCGTCCCGCTGGATATACTGCTTTACAAGCAAAGGCGCCCTGTTCGACCCCGCCAGCCCCGGCCCCTGCTGTGCTCCCGTTGCAGCCGCTTCGGGCACGCAACCGCCACCTGCTCTCGAGACGAACAGTGCCGGCGCTGCGGCATCAAGCACGCCCCAGGCTCGTGTGCAGCAAACCCCCACTGGATAAACTGTCGCGGAAAATATCCTGCAACCAAGCCGTGCTGTCGCATCACCATCGCAGGGCCGCGGTCATCATGGCCTCAACCGACGGCACCGTGACTCACCGCCAAGCCCTGGAGCACGCTAGGACCCCTGGCAGCAGCGCTTCCATCATCAAGAAACGCTCCTTCCAAGATGCAATCGTCGGTACCCGCGACACGACCTCGAAGGCCGCCCCTCGTCCTACAAAGAGTGCGCCCGTCGTCCCCACTACAACGACGATGGCCTCGCCCTCATGCACAACTCAGCTGGCCCCTGCCGTCGTCCAAAAGCGCTCGACGGCGACGCAGACACTACGCGCTTTTTCACAACCGCCAGTTCCTGTCGCCGTACCCAGAAGCGCGACGCCTGAGACCGCTTCCTCGACCTCGCAGGAACTTGACATCAAAACCAGGAATGACATCTTGACTGGTCTTGCTTCGGGACTTCGAATTGTGCTCATGACCCTCCCAGTTCACTCCCACGAGTACAATCTTTGTGTTGTGTCTCTGCTCGCCTTCGAGTTCATGGCTCATCGGTTTGGCCTCTCCCTGGACGAACCGGCTGCACTTCGTTAGTTCTTCCCTGGCCCGTGTTAAAACGTGCACATCACTGTACCCTCAGCCTTCTTGGGGGTATTCTGTCAACTACGTGTGACATGCGGGTAATCTTGCGCGCGCGCCTCTGGCAGATCGAATGCGCCTTTTTTTTTCTCTACTTTTCTCTTGCCTCTTTTCTCGTGTCCCTTTAATTCCAATTACCCCATCCCCAGCGCGGAACTGTGGAGGTGCTCTCGTTTGAGAGAGGCAGTAACGGAACTGCGCTTATTTCTTCCTCTTTTCTCTTTTCTAAGTCACTTCAGTTCATGCGACATGACTCGCTCTCTGTATTTCGTGCCGACCGGTTGTGCCCCCGCGATCTCCGACGAAAGCGCATCTCTGTTCGACTGGCTCGCCCTACGTCATCTCCTGCCGCCGACAAGAGCTCTCGCTGAGTGGTGCCCCGTCCTCGGACTCCTGCGACCGTGTACATCTTTTCTATCTTCTCCTTGCTTCTGGGTGTCGCTGTCCCTATGCCACGCTCTCTCCTTCCCCCTCTATCTCTATTCCTTTAATCCTATCATTTTAATCCCTCCTTACCCCCATCCCTCGTGAACTACTGTTGAGGTGTCGCACTGTGATGCAGACAGTTACGGGGCTCACTTTTCTTTTCTTTTTTAAGAATAACATAAGAACTCGGAGTGCTGAAGAAAAAAATGTAAGCCGTAAACTTTGTCCCCTGTTTTTTTTTCAAGCTGATGGCGTTTCCAGCATGAGCTCCAGCTACTGCTCCTGAAATACGTGTTTGCGTTCTCATTTCTATACAAGTAAGACGTGCAATGGCATTTGTATTCGTGTTCCCATAAATTGCTGCACGCTGAAGCAAGGCAGTCTTTGCAACGTTTCGCTAGCAACCATTTACCAAGTGAAGGCGACTCATACGTTTCACGCTGAAGTCACATTCATGCAACGAACTTTATCGCAGCTAATTGCGTGTGCCTACATTTCGTTGAATGTGTTTTGTTTATTATGTTGGGGTAACGGCACACGCTGAATTAGAAGCAAGTGCGCGTCATCGGTTCGTTCTGAGGAGGGAGCAACGGTACTGAAGCGTACTTAATTTGTTTCGTAGAAAGGAGAACGCAAACACGTATTTCGGGAGCAGTGGCCGGAGCTCACGCTGGAAACGCCATCAGCTTGAAAATAAAGGGAGGTGGGGGACAAAGTTTACGGCTTACCTTTTTTCCCATTGAGAGAAGGGGAAAACAACATATCCCACATGAATGGAGGCAGGACTTTATCATCAAACCACTTCCACGCAACATGCATCCTCAGTTCCACGAACATCGACGTCGGGCACGGGCAAAAGTTCACGACACCTACTCAGATACTGAGGGCGCCTTCTGTGTCGATGCAGCTGGACCAGTGAACGGCAAATATACAGCAAGCTTCATTTGTGGAAAACAGGTTGATTGTATATCAGCCCAGGACAGAGATCGACACAACTAGTATGGAAGAAGCAGGAATCTCCCTCGCCCTACGAAACCCAAGGTCCACTTTCGTTCTGACAGATTCAAAAGCAGCCTACCAAAATTTTTGTAAAGGCTACATTGGCCCCATTGCGCATTGACTTCTTACACAACTCTCGTCCTTACGCTCAGAGGGCGAAAGAAAGCAGCTGATATGGATATCCGGCCTTTGCGGTGTTAGAGGCAATGAGCTCGCCCATGCTTCGACCCGAGAATTTCTCTTCCGGACCTCCGACCCCGGCATATCGCACCCACCCTCGGCTATGCGTATGGACCCGCTCCTAACATGGACAGATATTCTAGAACATCAAAGACTCGAAAGGTAGAAACTTCCGCCCCTGGGGCCAAAGCTCAGTAAAGAATCTCAGGTAGCGTGGCGTCGCCTGCAGACCTCGTCTTACCCCACTCCATACATACTGTCCAAGATAGATCCCGACACATATACCACAGTGCAGGTTCTGCGTCACTAAAACAGCCACCCTGTACCAGAAGGTATGGGAATACCCACACAATCCACCTCTACAACCCAGAGCACAGCACAACACTGTAAGGTGGGAGGCAGCTCTGTCCAGCTCGGATCCGAAGACCAAAGAGGCCCTCGTGAGACGAGCGAGGACAGCGGCCCGTGCCAATGGGATCCCAGACTAAGGAACTCACTCACCGACATTCTTTCCTCGGTCGCAAATGAATTTTTTATTCTCTCTCTCTACCTTTTTCCCCTTCAGCATTCAGAGTTCGTATCTGTGTGACGCAGAAATACGTCGGCATTGCGGTTATCAGCCAATACATGCCTCACGTCGATACGCCTTACGTATACGTCTACGTAAACACATGCGGACCTGTGCGTACTGCGCCGCGCGGATTCTCTAACATGGCGGCTATGCACACAACGGCCTACAGATGGCAGCAATTTTGTTGTTTACTCGAACCTCGCGAGAAAAAAAAACATCCGCAGACATGTTGTGAAAGGTCGCAGATACTGCATTCGCAATAAATTCGCGAATGCAAAACCTCTTCAGTGTCCCTTTAAGACAAGATGTCTACGATTCCTGACTAGAACACTGTTGGGCGTCTGGATCACATAAGAACGTGGTCTTTGAGCAGGACTCAGAACTGCAGCCCACACTTTGGCGTCTTGCAGCCACACCTCTTCTCCTTCATTTAGGGCACGGAGATGCTTTGCAGCATAGTGAGTATCGAAGTTCCTGGCTTGCGCTTGTCGTTGTCTTTTGTCCCTGTCTTCAAAGTCATTGGTGGACGGCCAGTCCAGCTGGAGCTTCTTTCTCAGAACTGGGATGCACGTTCAAAGGGAGCGTCCCATCAGGAGCTCAGCTGGAGTATAGCCACAGATGTCTGAGGTGTTACGGTAAGCGAATAAGGTTAAGAAGGGATCCATGGCTTTTTTAATATGCCCTTATTAGTCTAAACTATTCACTCTACCTCCCCGTTCGATTGCGGATAATGGGGCTACTTGTAATGTTCCGGAATCTATATACCTCGGCAAAGTTCCCAAATTCTGTACAAGCAAACTGTGGCCCATTGTCGCTGATCACGGTATCTGGAATGCCATGTTGTTCAAAAATGCTTTTCGTTGCGAGGATGACCGCATCAGCCCAAGTGGATCGCAGTGAAATTACTTCCGGATATCTAGAGCGGCGGTCCACTACCAGCAAGAAATCTTCAACATCCATATGGAATAAGTGTATAGTGACTTGCTCCCAAGGTGAGGAGGGAGCCTTGGTGTTGACTAGAGGCTCAGCCGGCTACATTCTAGTAATAGCACAAAAGCGACAGTTGGATATGGCTGTCTTGTATTAGCTAGTGATGCCAGGCCACCAGAGCCAACTTCTGGCTAAAGCCAAACATCGGTTGATGCCTTGATGGTCATCGTGCAGTCATTCCAGCATGTTCTCGCGCAAAACATTTGCTACCATAACCCCATCACTAACAAGCCTTCAGAGACAGAGAAGTTTCTACGATATTCCCGAAAAGGAATCATGTTAAGGGGTTGTAAGCGGGCCTGCAGTCAGGTGATGAACAACGTTTATTGTCGTTGAAACGAAGTAGATAGAGGCAAGAATGGTGACGTAACAGGTCACGTGATTTCAAAGAAATGGCTGGTGATGTCGGAGTGACTCAGCCATGCTACATCTCTCTTTTCTTAGGGAAGCAAATAATTACACTGGTCTTTCTGGTTGTGGGTAGCGGCAGGGCTCCCGGCGTGGCCTTGTGCTTCTCCGCAACTCTTGAGCGGGCTGGGCGTCGTCAAGTAGTTCGGATCCGTCACGAGGTCTTTCTTCGAGATATGTAGGTGCGTCTCGCAGATGCTCGCGCGTGCGTCTAATTTCCTGGCCCTCTTCCGTCTTCACCACCACGGAGCGCGGCGTCTCAGCTGGCCTTAGAACGACCGCAGGTGTCCAAGTCTTTTCATGGGTATCGTATGTAGTCACCCTCTGGCCAGGTGATAGAGGTGGCAGGTGCCTGGATCGGCGATTGTGGTAGATCCTCTGGCGTTGGCGGATTTCCTGGAGACGGTTATGGACGGCTCGGTTGGGCACAGTTTCGGGCACCAGGTGGCTTGAGGGTACGGGCAGCAGGGTTCTCGTCTGTCTTCCCATCAGTCTCTGCACAGGGGATTTCCAAACAGATCTCGCGGTGTATTACGCCATTCAAGCAGAGCCATGTGGAAGTCAGGTGTTCTAAGAGAGCACTTCTTTATTAGCTTTTTTGCTTCTTGCACGGCCCTCTCTGTCATACCATTTGAGCGCGGATGATATGGGCTTGACGTTACGTGGGTAATGCCGAGCCCATATAAAAAGTCTTTGAATTCTGTGCTGTTAAATGGCGGCCCATTGTCGCTGCACAGTTCAAGCGGTAATCCATGAACCGAAAAAGTTCTACGCACCAAGACTTCAGCTGATTAGCAGTCGTATGGCGAAATTCCCTTATTTCAAAAAGAAAGAATAGAAATCGACAATAATGGCAAACTATCGGCCCCCGTAAAAGAATAGGTCCATTCTTACAGCTTTCCAGGGCAAGTTTGGAACCTCATGGCTCAAAAGCGGCATCTTTGCGTTTCGGAGCTGATGCTTCTGACTCATTTTGCAGTTTCGGCAAAATTGCTCTATGTCGCTTGCCAGGCAGGGCCAGAGCATGACGCTTCGTGCCCGCGCCTTCATCTTATCGGCTCCGGGGTGTGCGACGTGCAAAATAGCCAATATTTCTGCTTTCATCGAACTTGGTATGATCACCTTGTTGCTGCGAAATAGAAGGCCGTCTTGTGCGTGTATCTCCTCCTGATAAGACCAGTATGGGCGGATGGCTTCTGGAACCTCGTGCTTCTTGTCAGGCCAACTGTTAGCGCATATTCCCGCGGCTTTTAGAGAACGGTATCGCTGTTTGTTGCTGCGAGAATACTTTTTAGACGGGGTTTCGAGGCTGAAACAAATTCTAGCACATTTACTTGAAACTGCGCAGTTTCCTCACACATGCTCACTGTGCTCGGAAAACGCGACAAAGCATCAGCAAGAAAAAGATCTTTGCCTGGCTTATAAACCAGCTTGATCGATAGCGCTGCAAGGTCAGCCTCATGCGTTGCAAGCGAAGGGGACACTGATGCAGCGGCTTGTTAAATATTGGTACTAAAGGCCTGTGGTCGGTCTCTACAATCACTTCTGCCTGACCAAAAACATAGTCATGGAACTCCGTGCAACCATGCACTATCGCAAACATTTCCTTCTCAATTTGTGCATAGTTTTGTTGCGCCTCTGTGAGTGACCGGGACGAAAAAGCGATGGGGTGGCCGTCTTGCATGAGAACTGCGCCGACTCCTAATTGCTTGCGTCAACCGAGAGAATGAAAGGCTTTTTAGGGTTGAAGAAACCAAAATGGGTGCTTTCGTCAAGGATTGACGCAAGGTCTCCAAACTCTTTTGCTGCGCCTCCGTCCAAACCCATGCAATGTCTTTACGCACACTGTTCGAAGCGGAGCGGTAACCAGTGACATGTTGGGAATGAATCGCTGCACGAAATTCATCGTACCAACATACCTGCAGTTCTTTCTTGTTCTTCGGTTCCGGTATTCCAAGTATGTCTTGTACCCTCTCCGGATCAAGGCGTAGGCCTTCTGTAGTGAGTATGTGTCCCAGATGCCGGACCTCCGGCTGCAGCGACGCACTCTTCTTGGGGTTAAGTCGGAGGTTGTGCTGTTGACACCAGGATAACACAAGTTTTAGGTTGCAGTCGTGCTCTTCTTTAGTTTTGCCCATACTAATACGTCATCCATCACAACTGCCACACAGGACAACCCTTCCAAAACGCGGTGCATTGCTGCTTGGAATATTTCTGGGGCCAAAGCTATTCCGATCGGCATGCGAAGGAACCGATAGCGACCATATGGAGTGCTCATGGTGCAAAGTTTGGAGCTCGACTCGCTAAGCCGAATTTGCCAAACCCTGAAACTGCATCAAGCGGAGAAAAGAATCTTGCTCCGGCAAGCCTAGGAGCGACATCCTCTAACGTTGGCATGGGATAGTTTTCACGGAGTATGGCTTGATTGAGCGATGTTGGATCAAGGCAAATTCGAACTTTGTCTCCTTTAACAACGGTAACCATATGGCTGGACCATTCTGTAGGCTCAGTTACCTTTTTGACCCCTGATCCCCCATACGCTAAACTTCCGCTCTAGTCTTGTCCTCCAGGGCCACGGGCACCCTTCGAGCTGGTACGACGACACCCACGGCGCCGGGCTTGAGTTTTATTTCGTACTCGTAGTCCTTGAGCACACCCATCCTGTGAAGACATCTGCGAAAGGTTGGGCTGGCTGGTAAAGTTGATCGACGTCAATGTGTTGTACCCGGCGGATAAATTCAAGGCGTTCGGCTGCTGAACCACTCAGAGTCACTGGTACACTTTGCTCTATGATCTAGAATGTTTCGTGGATCACCCTCTCATTGGCTGAAAGCTGCAGGTGCACTTTTGCTTGCGCGGTTGCCTTGTGGCCGAAAAATGCTGTTAGCGCGACTCGGCAAGCCTGCTCTGGTAGATCCGGTAGCTTTGCAACGTCCCTTCTTGAAATGACGCAACAATAACCCCCGTGTCTAATTTGCAAATTATTGGTTGGCCTTCAATGTCCACCGTCGCGCTCCAGTGGTTTGTGTTGACCGTGCTCACCGTTAATGTTTGCAGAAAAAAAATGTCGTCTTCTGCGCATCATTCCCGTAGTTCTTTCTTCTTGCAAGGAATGGTTCGCGAAGGCGTTGCCGATTTGCATGCACGGGCAAAGTGGTTCAATCCTCCGCACTTATTGCATGTTCTACCGGTGGCGGGGCATCTTTCGCCGCGGTGTGCGCGATAGCCGCAGCTGCCGCAGGCATCCCCTTTCTTTGCGACAGCGTTAACTGCCGTGTCCTGCGCTGTCTCCGCGGCTTCACTGATTTCACGAAACTGCTGTTTTCCTTGCTCTTGCGTGCGACAGATATCGATAGTCTTCTTGAATGAAGGGTTTTCCGCAATCAGTTTCTGCTGCCGGTTCTTGTCACGAATACCCAGAATAATACGACTGCGCAGCATCCGATCTTCCATTACCCCAAATTCACAGTTTGTGGCTAACATTCGTAGCTTCGTCAGCCACTCATTGAAAGGTTCCCCTTCCCTTTGGTTTCTAAACCCAAATAAAAATTCATGATAGGTCAAGTTTGTTTCTGGCTTGTAGAACTCTGCAAACTTGGCAATTAAGACGTCTACGTTATTTTTGTCCTCTTCAGCCTCAACGTGAAGGTGCTGTATACCTTCCTTGCCTCTTCGCCAATAATCACTAGCAACGTGGCTGCTTGCACTTCTTTCGCTTGCTTCGTCAACTGGGTAGCAGTGGAAAATAGCGCGAACTCACTCTTCCAAGTTTTCCATGCAAGCCAGGTGTTGCGCGATGTGTCCAGCGGCTTTGGCGGCGCCAAGATTGTTGACCGAAAAATCGCTGGCGGCGTGGCCATTTCAGCTAGGCACCGCTGCCACCATGTAAGCGGGCCTGCAGTCGGGTGATGAACAACGTTTATTGTCGTTGAAACGAAGTAGATATAGGCAAGAATGGTGACGTAGCAGGTCACGTGATTTTAAAGGAATAGCTGGTGACGTCGGAGTGACTCAGCCATGCTACAGGGGTAACCAATCATGTCTGGGCTAGTAGAGTATTCTGTTAGGGTAGGTATCTATCCAAAGTCTGCTGGGCTTTGAAGTTATCCAGACGTGCTGCCAAAGTCGAAGGGAGCCGCAAGTACCTGGGATACTTCCACGTTGTTTGCTGAAACTGGGTGAGACTTGACGGTCCCTGGACAGAGTGTCCGTCGTGGCTAGGAATTAGCCTGGTACATATCTGGTAGAGAACTGGTGCGGAATCAGTCGTATCCGGAAACGTTGTACCCTTGTAGGCATGACGTCGAGGTCAGCTGAACCAAGCAGCTTGGCAAATGGTTTGTTATTGGTCTCGATGATAACTTGAGGCCCCACAATAACTTCTCGAATCTTTGGACAGCCCACGCAACAGCCAGAACTTGCTTCACAATTAGGCTGTATTTATGCTCTGCAGTGGTGAGAGCACTTGATGCAAAAGCGACCGGATGCCTTTCGCCGTTATGTTGGTCTAGTAAGAGTACGGCTCTAAGTGCACAAGAGCTAGCATCGTCAGATACAATTGTTGTTATCCACGTTACGCGTCATAACATCCGAAAAGAGGCACAAAAATGGGTCATTTTTAGGGATTCGCAGGCTGCTCTAGCGTCGCTGCAAAGTGATAGAAAACTCTTTCTAAACGCTTCCCTATTGTATGAGACCTTAAAAGAAATCGCATAAGCAAGTGAAATGAACCACGAGATCACATTTCAACGAATACCATGTCACTACAATATTCCAGAAAACACTGCAGCGGATGCCGCGGCAAATAGGGCCCACAATAACGAAGGGAGAATTTTTCTGCCAATTTCACGCACAGAAATGCGTCTACTCCTTAGACAGATAACCTGTAGCGTCACCAAATACAAAGGGTTCGACGAAAAATCTAAAAGTTCAAATTTATATTTAATAGACCTTTGCATAAAACTAAGCATTCCATCAGAGTTAAGGAGTAAATGGGAGATTTGAAACATCGGTCCACCCCCTACGGCTTGGTACAGGATTTATGCGACACTTCCTGCACAGGATAAAACGTGCGCCTAGTACAGACTGTTCGTGCGGCCACCTTAATTGACCAAAACGTACATGAGCGGCTTCTGGAGTGCCCGAAATATGAGACACAATAAAAAGTATTACGAGCAAGTTAGCAACTTTTATATATAGGTGGCCTTTCACGGTGATGGAAATAATAGGTCCATGGCCAACTGCACATCTTCAAAAAAGAGCACTTGTCGCCTTCAAGAAGTTTCTTGAAGAATCAAATATTTTACGGAAATATTGACCTACGTGATGTCGCCTTCACGCAAAAGGAAATACGTAATATTTAGTTAGCTTGTTTCATATCTATAATCATTTGCCTCAGTGTGAACTGACCTTGTGTGTGGAACTTGTGTGCGCCAGGATCTTTTTTTTTCTGAGGGGGGGGGGGGGGGGGTCCCAGACGACAATTGCGTTTCTTCAGGGGCGTGACAGGTGGTGGTGGTAGCGGTTAGAAGATGAGAAAAGGCACCTAATTTCTGCAACCCGGTCGGGAGCACGGCGCAGTGCCTACGACAGGGAGGCGCAAAGCTTACGCGTTGTGTTTTGACAACGCTTGCTCTTGGGGTGTTGGGGAAGGGGGGGGGGCGAACGAAGGGGGCAGACGAGAATTCGGCAGGAGGCTTCAGCCCACCCGTGACATTCCCCCCCCCCCCCCCATAGTGTCGCTGGTGTAGTCGAAACATGCGAGATAGTGATCGTACCCCACTGGCTTCGCCCACTTGATTCGTGGAGATGCGTGGATTTTTTGTTATTATTATTATTGTATCCATTTGAGTGGCTGAGACGCGGGGGCTGCGCGTGCGAGGAGAATCGAGAAGGGAAACGCGCGTCCGAGTGGAAGGGAGAGTATTTTCCTAAATAAAGAGATTTTATAACTATATGCGCTGAACAATGCTTTAACTTTTCTATTCATTGTCGGAATAAACGTATCGCTAGCGCGCAGGCACTCGCCACATGTATGTTTAGGTGGGTATCAACCAGTTACTGTATCATATGTTTAGGCGGACTGTACCATGCTCACTTTGCGTGGTCGGCGGTTATTCAAACATTGATCGTTCTGTTACAGCTCTACCATTGAGTGGTGCAAAAGGGATCGACTATCTCTCATGCGAGAGCGATTATGAACATTTACCGAAGGCGGACACGCCTCTACGCACACGATGAAATAAGAAGCACTGATACCAGATTAATACTGACGCTGTTCGTCCATCAATTTCCTACCTTTGACCCCTCCACGCCTAATTCGATAACCGTCCCCTTCACTGAAACTGACTGAAATAATTTCATTCATAGTTCCCTAGGTGCCTTAGGTCCTTAGGCTCTGCCCTAGGTACTGACAACGCCTCCTCTAGAAAGATGCCTGAGGAATGGCTCACGCTCCCAGCGGAGTTGGCCTGCCTTCAGTTTTAAACAAGCTCCGCGCGGTGGCACTCGCGACCGACACTATCATTGCGGCGACGGGTTGTACCAGCTAAGCGTTTTTTATCTACAGCCCATAGGGGCGCGTCAGTCGAGAGTTGTTCAAGACCTGCAATTGTGCACCACTGTTTCGGAGGCTATGTACAGTGCTGCGTTGTTGCACCGTCCGCCACAGATGACGCTAGCGACCAAGAACATTTTCAAAATGAAAGAGAAAAAGGATGTGGCAGCTGTTTTTTTTTTTCTCATGTGGCAGGCATCTTCCTAGAGTAGGCGTTGTACCAGCTAAGCGTTTTTCATCTACGGCCCATAGGGGCGCGTTAGTCGAGAGTTGTTCAAGACCTGCAACTGTGCCTCACTGTTTCGGAGGCTATGCAAAGTGTTGCGTTATTGCACCGTCCGCCACAGGTGACGCTAGCGACCAAGAACATTTTCAAAATGAAAGAGAGAAAGGATGTGGCAGCTGTTTTTTTTTTTTTCTCATACGGCAGGCATCTTTCTAGAGGAGGCGTTGGTAATGACAACGTCTTCTCTAGAAGATGCCTGCCGCATGAGAAGAAAAACGGCTGCCACACCCTTTTCCTCCTTTATTTTAGAATGTTTTCCGTCGCTAGCGTCACTTGTGGCGGATGGTACGACAACGCAACACTTTGCGTAGCCTCCGAAATAGCGGTGTACCTTTCCTTCCTCCGTGGTTGCAGGTCTTGAACAACTCGCAGATGAAAAACGCTTAGCTGGTACCGCCTGCTCCCGTGATAATGAATGGATGGATGGATGGATGGATGGATGGATGGATGGATGGATGGATGGATGGATGGATGGATGGATGGATGGATGGATGGATGGATGGATGGATGGATGGATGGATAGATGGATGGATGGATATGGCTGTACCCTTTAGATCGGGTGGTGGCTAGCGCCACCAAGCCGTTGTCACGGGTCCCGTTAATTAGGGAGGCGATCGCCGGGCTAATTCCAAGGGCCGAACTATCGGCCCCCCGAACCGCACCACGAAAGCGTGGACAATTTAGAAGTGGTCCTTTTTGGCGCGCCAGCGGACGCCGGCTGTGGCCCAAAGAACAAGTCAGAGCCGAGAGTTGATAAACAAAACAGAATTATATTCTCAATAATGGCAGATCCAAAAACAATACACAAGTATGCACAC